ATTTTCCTTTAATACAACCTTTCTGCTATAGTGAAAAAGTCCATCTGAATATTATTGTGACCAGCTTTTAAATAATACAAATCAATTGCATGATTTTAAGCAGTTAGTTTCCGCCAATGCCAAATAGGACGTTGCTTGTATAACTGGATTAGTCAATCAATTTTTAAGCGGAGAATTTTTTTTTTTTTCACCCCAAAAAGGATTGCGGTACATTGTGGTCAGCTCTAAGTAAGCTGTGTGCATTAGAAGAAAATGCAACTGTTCAGGTGACCATTTCAGCAGAGTTTGAACTCGTCTAAAAGGCAATGTGCTTATAAACTTTGCTGTTCCGGTTTAATGGAACACACCTTTCAATGAGGATGCGCGGGCAGCCCATCATCAAAGTGAAACTTCCAAAGTTCCGCTTAACTTGTTGCCGAAATAGTTTCTCGTTTTCAAGAAAATTGCCGTGCACCAAGTGTATAGAAGTGTATCGGGGAATCTTCACCGAAGGAAAAAAAATTGCCACTTGCATACTTGTCTTTGACCAAAGTGAGGCCTTCTCCCACTCCAGGGAACATATGCTGTTTAGGAAGATATAAAGGAGTAATTTTATTACTTGGTACATCTCCCCTCTGAAGCCATTTTATTTTTCCTTTCAGCCTCCACAGAAGCCTTTATTTGATCTCATATTGCAGAGTATGACTGCCTCAAACCAGTTGGACTCCGTTTATTTTCATTTGGAAAACACATTTAGTGTTGAAGGGATGTCAAAGAGTTTTAAGTGAAGAGCAGGGGGTTCAGGTGTGGAATAGACCGAGGCAAGTTTCTCTACATGCTAATGTCCTCCTGCGGGGAGTATTGGGAGCGAAACTTGCAATTTTATTTTTGCACATTTTTATAGGGAGTCTATTCAATATAATCAAGAAAATTATTCAAACATAACCACTGTGAGTCTTTTTATCCTTACAAATACTAACCTTATTTCTTGAAAGTGCAAGATGAATTTTTTTACACTACACTGCACCACACTGCAATGTTAAAGGTTATTTTTTGACAATTGACAATTTTTCTTTTTTTTAAATTGTTTGAACAAGCATTAGAATTGCGCCGATTCTGTTCTCCAACTGTCATGGATTTTAGGTGATATTTAGAGAGCAGTCACTGTAAAACAGGATTTTACTCATTTAAAATAAAGTCTAAGACCCGCAAGCTTCTAAATAAATATATCCAAATAAGTCTGTCTTTGTTGTTTCATAAAAAAAATACTATAAAATTGAACAACTTTGCTGTGAAACATTCAGACAGAGAGGTACAGTTGAGCCCAAAAGTATTCATAATCATGCTAAAATTAGATTGCATGTTTTTTTCACTTAATAATAAAATGACTTTGACAAGAAATGAAACGGGGGTTTCTTAGAGAATCAAATTTTGAAAATAAATCAAAAAAATTAATGTAAAAAAGAATTCAAAGTGGAAAAGCAGACTTGTCTGATAACAAAATTTTAGTAACAGCGATGCTAACTGCAAAATTAAAAATATTACATATTATGCCCATTTTGCCATAGAAACATATTATTCATTAGCTCCTAATGCGTTTTATTTCTAATTTAATTTTTATATGCTCACCCGCCACCAGTTAATTTCCTAATTGTGGATAATTTCAAAGTAGTCTCAAAGTTTCAAGTTTCAAAAGTTTATTTAATTGATTTGTAACTAAAGAAAACTCTTAAAATTTGCTCATTACTTAAGAAACACAGAAGATGTTTCATTCAAATACGATTCCAGCAGAAAAAAGTACTAACATCCTGTATTGTTTTTGTTTTCAGAAAATGGAAACGACGCCATTTGACCTTTCTAAATGGCGGCTAAGTTTGCATGGGTACAGTGAAACCGGTGCAGCTGGTTACTCTTTACTCAAAGCTTTGAAACTGCAGATCATTAAAAAAAACTGTGCCATTTATTAGGGCGCACAATTGGCCTGCCCAGATGTAGCTGGTCACTTGAGAAGGAGACCTCCTCATAAAGTCTAAGCTTTTACAGCAGGTCCAACTGTGAAGTCCAAATTAACCCCCAACCTTTCCTAAACTGCACATATTTATCTATTTATTAAATCCTGATCCGGCACAGCTGTCTGGAGAAGGCTGCACCATCTAAGATTCTCACTCCCTCTCTCATTTATCAGTGTTTCTGTCGGTCTCCCCGCCTGAGCCTTGCTCCACCGACTGTATATCCTCTCCAGCCTGTGTCTGGTGACAGCACAATGAAAACATCTTTGTGGAAAGTGTCGTTTCACTTCTCAGGAAGTCCCACTCACCTAAATAGTTCCTCCTCTATGTCTTGTCTGCCTTGCTCCTTTTCGTGTCTGTGTGTGTGTATATGGGAGGGGAGTGGAGTGATGGTGGGGTGGTAGAGTAGGTGACTTGGGGGTATTTCAGCCTCCACTGGGCTCTGTTCCACACATTCAATTACCTCCAGATGTAATTCCTATTCCCCACCCATCACCCTTAAATTAGTGGCTAGTAAAAATTAGATCTGAATTAGCCGCGGTGAGGAGAATATGAGAGTTTGAATTTTCCCTCTAATGACTTTATTATTTTTACCTAGGAACAATTTTTCTAAATTAATTTTATCCAAACTTTTTTTTTCTTTTGTTAGCTATAATTGGTATCGAGTTAAATAAAGGGCTTTTAGTCATGCCTGAATAGCTGATGTGTAAACAGGTGAATGAGCAAGACTTGGACCCTAACGTCCTTTTTCCGAACTTTTGGAGATAACTCTGCATAAATTCAGCATTGTGAAAGTTGGTGTTAATCGTTGCATTTCTTTTTGCCCCATAAAATGCAAGCATTTTTTCACTGCTTCTTGGATTCCATGGATGTTAGGTAGCAGTTGTTGCATTGCATATACAGGTGTTGTGCTCTTTTGACTGCCAGTGAAGCGTGCCTCTCCGTCAGTCAACTGTGTAGCTTTGTGGTTCTGGGAACGATAATCTTTTTGGCAGAGCCGAGGCTGCTACAGATCATTGTCATAAACTGGTTTCAGATTCATCCAAAACAGGAAACCTAAAAGCATGAAATGGCTATTAAACTTCACATTTCCGGATGCCTTTTAATCTTGATAACATACTAGATCAGTGGTGGAAATTAAAATGCTCACCCAGTCATTGTGAGAACATTTGCATCAGTCACTCAAACATTTTATAGGGACTATTTCTTTTAAACATTCAAACATGGTTTGAATGTATCCACAGTTGCCTTAGGATAAAAGTTTTTACTTGTTTTACCCATTTTTACCATCATTTTGTACATGTTGCTATTTCAACGTAACTTACTTTGATTTCTGACCCGTCGACAAACCACTTCCTACCTATTTGCTGAAAACAGTGGATATCATTTAGGTGGTAGTTAATTATTTAATGCTGTATAGATATTCAAAAAGAAAGCTTAAATCCCTTCTCCTGATCCCTGTTGAGGACAGCTAACTCCTATGAAATACAACAGATTGACCCCTCATCATACTAAAATAACATTAAGAAGCCACCTGCTGGCAAATATTATTTATGGAAGTCATAAACCCACATTTTCAGGCAGTAAAACATGAGAGGAACATGGAAAAATAATTTCAAACTACTGGTTTGTTTGACTGGATACAAGATGTCCCCTTGTCCGATGACTTGACACAAACTTTTCCACAATTGACGAATCCAGTCTGGAATAAAGCCCAGTAAATTTCACAGAAACTGACTGCCAAACTTTGAAGTGACCAGTTCTACATTTATAATTCCTTAAAAAGAATGACATTTTAAAAAGTAGTAGAAGCATGCCACGCATGTTTACTTACACAAACCAAGTCTTTTAACTTTTGACCTCCCTTGAATAAGTTCGATGGTTTTGCCAACCACTTTACTGTTTCAATGACAATTAAAGCTTGTGTGCAACACTGCCTCCAGTAGGTTGAGTGTATAATTTGAATGCTGCTCCCCTGTTATATTGCAAACATAAAATTTCCTAGTGTTAGAAGCACACACACACACATGCCCACGCACACACACACACACGCACACACACACACACACACACACACACACACACACACACACACACACACACACACACACACACACACACACACAATAAGAAAACTATAAATGGTGTATGATTTCTTTTACAACTTAATAAACCTTCTTCCATCCTTACCACATCACGTCTCAGCTACTATGAAATAACATTAGCTCTTGTTGCGCCTCTCTTTCATCCAGTTCCTGTCTGCTATATAACAGGTAAACTGCTGTGAGCAGCTCTTGCTTGCACAAATGTATTCATCTCAGCTGAGGATTTGATTCCAGCAACTCATTTAATTCAAATATGCTTTTGAACAAAAGCAGGGTATTTTTCCCCCCCTTTTTTTTAGGAAGGGGTTTGGCTTTGAGGACAGTTGTGGTGGTGAGAAAAATAAAAGGAGGCATGCAGGAGTGCCAATTTAACCTGAAGTGTCTGTCGCTCGTATTCCAGCTCCTTCGTTTTAAGAGGCCGGGTCAGCTTGAACTGCTTGACTTCTGTCATTTCGATCTCTTTTGTTTTTCTGCTGTAATGTATACTTTAATTCCCGCCCACCTGCCGTCTGTGTGTGCAGCAGCAGCGGCGGCGGCAGAAGCAGCTGGAGGGGAGGTATAGGTATCATTAAGCCTTGAAGTGGCACAGGCGGACCGCTGCCGAGGGCTGGGCACGGTTCCTTGCAGTGTGTGTTGATATTTCTGGGCCTAGCAAAGGTAGAATCTGGTTTATTTTCAATAGGAAGCCAAGGCTGGGCTTGGTTAGACTGCCTCCCCCCAGCTGCTTACTAAGGCTGTTGATATTAAGTCAAACAAACAGTCTCTCAGGGATGTCCTGTTTGGAAGTCAGCCAAAGACGCAAATGGAAGTCACATGTGGAGATATCCAGAGGAAGGCAATAAAACCTCAGTTCACACTCTCGCCCATAACAATCAATTCTACAAGCTTCAGAAGAGATGACCAAGGTTTTTATTACTTTGACAGTGAAAATATCCTCCGCACCCCCCAAAAACATCCCCCCAAAATACACAAAATTATCATGGCAGTGATCAGGGACCCATCTACCTTCATTATGCGCTCTCTTTTCCCACTGAAACACGTATGCAAATATATTTGGACACTGTCATTATCATCCCCTTAATAGACATTTCATTAGGGATTTCTGAATGCACGGTGAAAGTGCAAGTTGCCATGGATACCCTGGTGCTTAAGTACAGTATATTAAAATGGTGCTGCCTTCCAACCACTTATATAATCACCGGTCTGTAATGGCCTCTGCTTTGTGGCCATAAGCAACATATTGTGTGATCAACATTTCCCAGGACTTTAAAAGAGCCCTTCTGAGCCATTAGGCCTTATTTGGCTTATTATTATTATTATTATTGGTCGTAGTAGTAGTATTTGGGGGCTGGACTTTACAGATCACGAGTTGTGCTTGTGAAACATTTGATTAACAAAGAATGAATAGGGGTATGCTTTATTTCATGCATTTGGGTTTCTTTATTTTTTGAAACATTGGATTTTCGTTCTTGCAAAGTGACGATAGTATTAGATTAAATGAGAGATGAGGGAAGTCAAAAGAATAACAACAAGGAAAAACTAAATACTACTAGAGATGCCATGAATTTAAAACTTTTCAGGAAGCTAAAGCTTTGTGTGTTTTAAGCTGATACTGATTTTACTCATTCCTAGGTTTTTTTAAGAACTACTACCCGAAATGTAATTTTCTACCCTTCCTATAGTGGATTCTAATTAATTATTTATTCAAGAAGCAGAGGTGACGTCACAAAGACAACTAATTGTTATAGCATCATACAACAAGACTTAGTGTGCAAGGTGAGGTTAACTGTCTGGTTTATCCTTTACTCCTAATGAAAATAGACTCTTAATTGACCCTTAAATTTGTACAATAGATAAACAAAACAATTCTTTTGTGACAGCCTGAATGAAAAGCAGGCAAATCTGGGAAATATTTTCCAACAGCTTTAGTCTTTCATCTAATTTCATCTTCAAAACCTCACTCTTATAAAAAATGGACAAATTTGAGACTTCACTCTGTAACAGTGTTCACACTGAAGAGTGTTTGACAATGTTGTATGGTTCATTCAGTGCTGGGAATTTTGATTTGTGCTTCCAAAGAACTGCTGGTCAAAGACAATTAAGTTGAAATGTCGACTTCAATCATTGTCCAGTTTCTAGGTGCAACTCAAAATATCCCTGATGCTCACAGTACCTGGAGATTAATCAGTTTGCTAAAACTCTCAAGTTATTCTTCTCACCGTCTTGTGTGGTGAAGTAACGGGTAAGCCAACTCTGCCTGTCTGTATATAATTACCCCAAAGCAATTCACTTTGTCGCAACCTCAATTGAAAATGAATGGCTTCAAAAGTTGCAGTAGTTGTGTGCAAACTGCTGAAATCGCTTTGTTGAGATGAAATGGAAGTCAACATCCTCCGCTGCCGTTGTCATGACACTCCTGCTGCTCTTGCCAAGGTTGGTAACCAGCTGCTACCCCCACCCTCCTCACTGTACCCACTCCACATGTCTGTCTCTCTCCCCCGTTTTTCTGCTGCCACCTCATCAGTGCGCTGGTGGGCTTGCTTGTATCCCCTGACCTTGGTAGCAGAAACCCCCAGAAGAGGAGTCATGGAGGGAATAAACACCTGAGGGGAGAAGGCACACAATTGTCAGAAATATGAAGAAATGGGCATAACAACCCCCCCCTTTCCCATCCCATCTACACCCAACCATCCTCCACCCCTCAAAATGTTTCTGAGGAGTTCTGTCGTCTAAAGCCTTTGGCGCTTAAAGAGAAATGGGAGAAATTACTTGAATCATGTTGATGCTTAGAGCAATTAACAGCAGTTCTTTAGCCCCTTTTGATTCCCTGCACTACAGCCTCCGCCACGATTGTTTAGTGTTTATCGCCTCCGCCTTAGAGCGCCGTCGGTTGACACTAATGAAAACACTACATCTTCTGGTGTGTGTTGCGGCTCTTAATAATATCGTGCAGCTGAAATATGCCTCAGCAGAGCTGCAGAGATAATGTACCATTCAGAGTCTGCTAAATCATACTTGTGCACAACTCAGAGCTGTGAGGCAGAGTGGTCCTTAACCTGTATTATACTTCTGCTAAACACATGTAGGCATGGGCCGGTCAGCAGTATCAAACAACACCAAGGATATGTCAGTGTTCCTACTATTTAATGAGATTTCAGAGAAATTGCGGAAGTGGCCTGTTTCCCCCCCACCCCCTCTCACTTCTCCCCTTCCCCACCTGTTGCTTTGTAGCACTGATTACTTGGCTGAGAAAAGGCTTCTGCAGCTCTTCTTGCACAAAAGGTAGCAAAATATGTCTTGGTTATTTATTCATTTTTACAGTGTGGGGATAAAAAATAGAGATTGCAAAATTAAGTGTTTGCTCAAAATATATAACTGTAAAAAAACATGACTATTAAGCATGGAATAATCATTAATTGATCAGAGTGGGATTAATTGTAGCTTTTTGTTTACACAAAAAAAAATAAGTCATGTAATATATAAAAAAAATTGTGTGTAAATACAGAGATACATTTAAAGCAGGATCTCTTCCTTGCTCATAGTTTATTTGATTTTGTTTCCAACTTTTTTTTCTTCTATAGAAATGCCCCAGACCTATAGAGATAAAGAAATAAATGCTCCCCCCCACCTCACTCCGCTTGCATTAGCGCTCTCAGGCCCATGTGGCTCGGCAAGCTGGTGGCAGATGGACTTGCTTTCCCCGCATCTGCTGTGTGCAGACTGGGGGGCTTTGTACTCTTGCTCTCGTGGGGAAGACCGGGGCTTTCTTCTTGCCAGTGGATTCCTGTCTGTTGGAGCGTCTAAGAAAAACATCTGTGGCATGCAAGAGAGAGGGGGAGAGAGGGGAAAAAAGTGACAAAAGAATCGGCAAACACCATTAGCCCCTAAAGGTTCCGTCTCATTGCCTGTTGTGTATTGTTTACAGTGGGGTGTGTGTGTTTTGGGAGGGGGACACAGTGCATCACATTTGAGTCCACTTTGGACGGTCTTGTGGAACATACTATAGTGAATCAGGTTAGATTGCTAAATCAGGTTGTGGCATGTCTTTAAAAGCACATTTTGATTTCTTGATCTGTAAAAAAATGAAAATGTTAGAAATATTCCACATCTTACCTTTTTCTCTAATGGTCAGTAAAAAGTTTCTTTTTTTAAAGGCCTATCAAGGCATAGATGCAGACGGTGGTCCTTACATTGTGACAAAGGAAGTCTCAAGCGTCACTTTAGAATTTTGTCTCGGAGAAACTGCATGCACGCTGCATGTGGTGGTCTCCCCGTGCAGTTTTCAACCTTTGTAGTTCCCCTCCCCTTTCAGATTCCTCCAGAACACCCCCCATCACCTCCTCCTCCACCCACAGCCCCCGCCCCACCAATCCCTCCCTCCTCTTCCTCCTCTTTCCTTCTCACTATTTCTTTGCCAACTCTCGCCACCCTCCGCCCCCTCTCCTCCGCTCCCCACGACAAGCCACGTCCCCCGCACCACCACCCCACCCCATCCTTCCACCAGCACCCCCTCCTGTCCTCCTCCTCCTCCCTCCGCCCCCTGCCCCCCCGATCAAGCCACTGGTTTTTGTGTACTATTGGTCCTCAGGCGTCAAAACAATCCAGCGGGGCTGCCTGACTTGTTTTAATTAGGCAGCGCTGAAACGGCAACTGTCTCTCAGACGTGACCAGGCAGAGGTGCTCTCCCCGCGCACTACTGTAAATACGGCCGTAAATACTTCTCTGGTGATGTCTTTGACAGTAAGCGCCAGCTAGTTGCCCTCTCTACATTTTTTCCCCCCCTCACTTTTCATTCTGTTTTCTGCGACTGTCCCTCCAGTTTTTTTTTTTTTTTTTTGCTTGTGCTTTTTTTTTGTTTTGTTTTTTGTTTTTTGACACAGTATTGCCGTCAGGTTTCTAAGAATACTTCTTCAAATGCTTCTTACCGAGGAGAGTGGATTTCTCCCTCGTTGTTTAAAAGGTAGGTCATTTTTGTCTTTGCGACTCTATTTTGGCATGTACTTGGAGTGCTTTGTGACAGCGTGCAGGTTGGAAATGCGCGGATGTGATGTTGCTAATTGTTTTTAAGTGCTCTTTACTTTCTGCTCGAGCCCGGCGTAGGACTCGGACTGACGCGCAGGCTTTCACTAATCCTTTTCAGATTCTTTACCCGCACACACACATCCACGCACACACACACACTTAGACCTATGCACAATCAGGACTGAAAAGAAAAGCTCAGAATAAAGCCAGAGACACATACCTTCGCGGAGATTGCACCTCTCTTAGCAGCGTCCCTCCAGCCCCGCTTCTATCTCCGCGCCCCTGTCTCAAAAACCAGTCCACATGAGCGAGCGAGCGAGCGAAGAAACACATTTTTTTCATATGTATATGTATTTTTTATCCCACTTTAGTAAAGCAGATGCATGATCGGAGCAGCGAGAGCACGCGAGCAGAGAGCCGGCAAGCATCCTCTGACGAGTCGAAGCAGTCCACATGTGAACCTCTGCTCACACACTCTCTCTGGCGTGCGCACACACACACAGGACCCACCCACATGCAGGGAGCACCTGGACGTGCACTCTTGCACTTAGAAAGCATGGATTTTTTTTCTCTTTTTCTAACTTATTGCGGGAATTAAAATAAATGTCAAGGTTGTTAAAATGAACCGTGGAAAAAAAAACACTCAAAAGAATTAGATTTTTATATATATATATATTTTTTTTTTCTTAATGAAAAAAAGTGAAGTTTTCCAGGAAATACAAAAATTGATCAGCAGCAGGCTGGATAAATGACAGTCTAATTATATCCAACGTGGAGAGAAAGAACCCACCGATTCTGCATACACACCCTCTGCGTTCCCCCCTCCCATTCTATTCCTTCTCTCCCAAGTCGAGCCTCCTCTTTTGGGCCTGCATGTCTGACCTGTTCAGGGGCCCCCTGTCTGTAATTGCCCCACTGACAACTGGAAATGATAGAATAATTGTCACAAAAGTCTCTTTCTTTCCTTCTTTTTTTAATAGGGCAAGGGTGATTTAAGTATGCATGAATGGCACAGTGGCGTTGAGGTGGCGAGAGGAGGGGAAAGAGAGCGAGGGAGCAAGAGGTGCTGTTGTGGGGTGGGGGGGATCCAGGGCGGGGAGGTGGTGGAGGTGGTGGTGTTGGTGGTGGTGGTGGGGGGGAGGCGGCTTGTTTATGATGCTATCCCCCATAAACACGGCTGAAGTGATGACACAGATAGTGTTGCCTCTTCACACGGTGACACCAGTCGAGTTGCGGGCGTCGCTGCGAGACACCCCTCGCCGCCAGTGGCAGAGGCGAGCTCTCTGTTGTCCGGTCAAGATCTCTGGCACTCCTCAACTTCTTCAGGTAAAAAAAAAAAAGGGAAAAAAAAATGCCACGCACACTCCACTCTGTCCATCCCTTCATCAATCCATCCATGTATCCGTCCGGTCACCCACCCATCAATCTTCTGTCATCCGTAGTCGACTCCAGGCTCTTGACTGTGTTTAATAGCTGTGTTTTATTGCCGGGCTGCCTTCCCCCCACGTTGGTCGTCCCACTGTGGAGCTGTTCAGCCTCAGTCTGCGGGCTCTGTTAATCTGCTGCTTAATTAGTGCTGATGAATTGCTGTAGTGTGTGCGTGCACGCGTGCGCGGGTCCATGCACCAAGGTGGATGTGCGATTGTGTAAATGTGACTTTTTTTTCTCTCTCTCTGCACTCGCATTGTATCAGATGTTGCTACGATAATCACTGATCAATAAACTAAAAAGAAAAAGGACAGATGCATTACTTGCATTTTTAAAATTAATAGAAATAGCTATTGTGTCTGAAAAGTGCTGAGAATTTGACTTGTTTGTTTGGAGGGGGAAAAAAATCAAAACTCTTCAGAACGGATGTATAGTTTGAAAAGGCGAGAGGTCATGAGACTCATCATTGTCGAAGCGCTAATTATCTTTATCAAAGGCGAGCGGGATCATTTGTTTACTTAAATATTGATGAGTATGAGCGGGGCTCAGTATTGGGCTATTGTGGGCATATTATTAACATTTCATAGGGCTTTGTGCAGGAATGCGAAAGGGACTCTTCTTCATAATTTAATACCCCAATGCATAATGAGCTATGTGATTAGCTCACACGGAGAATTGGCCAAACTCCATTCTGAAGGCAGATAATTTACATTGTTCTCCAGAGTCTGGCGTATAATAGGTTCTTTAGCACAATAAAATTAAATGCTACACATTTTATATTTCAGCTAGCAAATCCCCCTGGCAGTATTCATGAAGTCTTCTCTTTTTTGTTGTTTTTCTTCTCCTTGAAACAAAACAACAAAATTTTTGAATTTGTTTAACTGAAACACATGTTTACCTCCGTGTTTTATTTAGAACGCTCACCGGCCAATTAACACCATTCATTAGCCGAGCCTCGTTATTTGTTTTGAAAGTTTAACCAATCACTTTGTTATGCTAATTGTGATGTAATTTAATTTGAGTTCCCCCCGTAATGATGATGCCGCTATTATCCACATAAATGATGCAGTTAAGCAGCACGTTCTCATTTGCATGTGCTTGAAGGGAGGGAGGCTAGAAAAGGAGCCGTATCACTCCGCTTTAATTTTCCACCTCTGTTCACTCCTGCCCTATGGGTCTTCCTGTCCTGTCGCTCGACTATTGATGATCAGCACTTTTATCAATTCTTTTTTTATTTTTTTGATTACGAAGCGGGCTTTTATTTGTCAGTGAAAAGATTTCCAGAGCCACGTTTTAGAGGAATTAAAAAAATAAATAAAATTAAACATTGCTTGATTAGAAAATGCAAATGACTGTTTTGATCAGTGAACTGCGAATCGTTGACCTCACACACCTGTTCACTGATGCAGTGCCTCACTTTGATTTTACATTCTTTATTTTAGTTTAAGATTTGCATTTAAAGGTGTTTGATGAAGCATCATCATTTGTTTTTATTATTATTATTTTTTTTAATATATACGTATTTTTGTTATTTGGTTATAAATTACAATAAGCAAATGTGAGTCATCGTTTTGCAATTTTAAAAAGAAAGAAATATTTTAACCTTTCATGTGAAACATACGTCTTATCCGAGGTTAAAGAGTCCTCATTATCTGTTTGCAATTTCCAAAAGAAAGATTATTCAATTTTTTTCCCCCTGAATAACCCCCCCGTCCTGCTTTTTATGCTTCTAATTGGTTACATAAATCTTGTCTGGTATGAATGAGGAATGTTGAGGTGTTGTCAGGTGCAATCTTCGCCCTTATTTACCAATTCATTAAGATCTATCGATGCAGGACTGCTGAGAGGGAATGACAACATAAATCAGAGCCTGAGACATAATGGCCCTAATCAACCAGAAATAACTGGAAACGTCACAATGAGCTATGTCTCTGTAGCTGGAGCCGTCCGCTGGATCTGCCCTGCTGTGGAAAAAAAAAAAGGGGGACCGGAGAGTCAAACCGATCCAGCTGTCATTACCTCCTCTGATTTTTCTCTGTTCTCTTCCCAGAAGGGAATTTGTCCATTCGCGTCTTTTTGTTATCCAGGTCTTGTTCCGCGTCAAAGCAGCTCAGTTGTGATCACTCGCAAAAAAAAAAAAAAAAAAAAAAAGAAAACACCTTTTCTCAGCGCAATACTTCCCACTCGTAAGGTCTATAAATACAGTTAGGTCGGAAGTGCCGTGCATTCACAAGTGCAACCTCCTCTACTCCTGATAAAGATGATTGGATGAGACAATGAGGCCTCTCCTCTTTATAGGTCAATTAGCCCTGATTAGGTGGGCCGAGTTAATTAACAGAATTGGCAAATATGCAAATGAGAGCAGACGGATCGGCCTTCGTCACAGTCTTGCTCAGCCATCTCCTGCCTCAGCAGAACGTGGCGTCTGACGGGGGGGGAACATGTAAATGATATGGGACGAGCCTAAATGCGAGAAAGAAACTAGTCTCTCTCCTCCTCTTTTCCTTTTTCTGTTAGGGGTGTTATCTGTAGCATGCCCGTTTCTGCAGCACAAGAAGTCACGTAACAATTTTTACTTTTTATCTAATATTTTTGCACCGATCAAATTTTCCTGGATGCTGCCAATTTTTCTTTTTCCTTCAGGTCCAACCGGCCAATTACATCCATGCACGGAAATCATGAAACAATTAAGTTTCATGATACTTAATTGTGAGGCATTCATTTGATTTGAAAAGAAATTTTGATTTTTCAGTCGCTAACCAGTCACTTACACGTTGTGTTTTCAGACTCAAATTGATGGGAGTTTGCATTATGGATGTATTTAATAAAAAAGTAAATAAAATAAAAAAAGATTTTCTCAGGCGATGTCCAATCAGATCAAATCAGGCAAATAATTGGTCAATATCGATCTGTTAAAAAATAGCTTTTTATGTATTCTTGCTTTTCCTCAAATATCCTCTTTGTGACATAGCCGTATCTATTGAATATACATTTTCCTTAAAACAGTATCATGCATATGATCCATGAATTCTTGTGGCATTTGATCATAAAAGGAACATTGTGCAGCCCGTACAATTGAGCACGCAGTTTATACTCTTTCCTCCGGTTGTCTTTGTCACTTTTCTCCCCTCGCTCTGTTCTCCTCGGAACGCCGACTCCGACACATCCCCGCACATTCATTCAGGGACACTTCCACACTCTGGCAAATAGTCCGCCTTTTATCTTATTCCGTCTCATCTCCTCATTGTAAATAGAGGAGAATTAAGTTCTGAACATTCTTCACTGAATGTCTCCTATCACAGAACTACGATTTATTGTCGGGGCTCAAATGAAGAATTGAAATATGACTGTGGTTTTTTCTCAATGCAGGGCTCATTGGACAGGAGATAACCACATTTGATTCTGTTGCTTTGAATAATGTTAATCCGGCGTTTAAAAAAAAAAAAGCAAAAAAAAAAGCAAAGTCCATTATTCACATTCATCGCTTTTCATTTGGCCCCCACTTCAGATTTTGTAAATATGATTTCTTCAGCCCTTTTCTTTCTTCCCCTCCAATCCCCACCCTCCAAAGTAATCTTTATTCACCGGTGAAGCACTTTTGAAATTCCTCTATCTGTGAGCAGAAACCATTACCGTACACAGGTTTATAAGAAGTAGTCATTAATGCTCCTTTATGTGGTCCTTTAGCGCCAAAAAGGAAGCTTTTAATTCTAAGGTGTAGCAGCCTGACTTTGCCTTGCTTAATCCGAGGGTATGATTTTTTTTCTTCTTCTTTTTTTTTTTTTTTAACTAGAACTCCTCATTCTTCCATTCTTACTCCTCGCTCTAAGCATAAAATAATTAGATTTTGGATCCCGTGACAGCTTGATGCAAAAATCAACAAATAAACGACACAAACAAACAGTCAAAATCAAATTTTGTTGAATGTGTCGCCTTTTTTTTTTTCTTTTTAAAGTTTCAAGCTGTTCCAAATTCAATTTTTTGCCTTTCTCAACTCTTTGTCAGCACAATGCATGGCATTTTGATTTATTAAGCAATCTCAAGTATTAAATATGTGAGCTCTTGCCCTTGCATAGCTACTTCTTTATATTGCACGCACAGTAACTTATAGCAATGATGAATTAATTTCACTCA